GGCATTCCTAGTTAGACAAAACTAGGTGGATCACTTGACGAGCTAGCCTTGGTTTTCACCGAATGCTCCAATTCTTCTACAATTTCTCCTTCGTCATAGGAACGATTGCTTTCACCTAGAGTGGAAGAAAACTCAGGGGCACTCTTATTTCCTTGGCCCCATTCTGAGGACTTATTTCTGTGCCTAAAACTAAAAGACTTCACAAGCTTTTCTTGCTTCCTCCTTCTCTCCCTCACCTCAACATGCCACTGCTTCAGAATTTTAGCCAACGCTTTGCTCTTCACTTGTGAACCCATCTGTAACAATTCAATTTCAATACATTAAACCATTTTACTCCACAATGAGATTGGAGGGGCTAACTCGTTAATTTCTTTATAAAGATGTTAGCAACACACACTCTATCATACTTGATACATTTCTTTTATCAGGTAAAATTCATTGAAAATTATAAATCATGAGAGGGATTTATTAACAAGTTTAATGGTCATATCCTATTAATTATACAATCAATCAGTTTGAAGTCACGATATATATGATTTGTAAGGTAGTTATTGTAAAAGTCAACAAATTTATCATTTATGATAGATTCTGATTATATTAATATGTAAAATGTATCCCCTTTAAAAACTTTATTAAATAGTGTAAGATTCACCAAATTTTATAATTTTTAATAAACTTCAACTAATAAGCAAAAATGTGGCAGAGTGTGTTTAAAATAGTGTATTTATGGTTTTTGTCATGACTAAATAAAGTTTACCTGCGCCACTAATGCATAGAGGGGGAGAGTAACGTAGCTGCATAGCACTTGAACTGCGACCCTGACGAAATAATAAATCAAAATGTCACCAAGGATTAGAAAAATTCACCCCCAGCATGATCAACATGCCAAAAAAGAATTTAAACAAATTTTAGGCTGTCATTACGCTATCACCACTCTTATGATTGTAAATGATCTGTGTTCGTGGTAGCAAGAATTTATTCCAAACTGTGTCTGGCAACCAAGAAAACAACATAGAAATAAAGAGAAGGATGTAAAGTTCATCCATATATTGTATCAATATTTCCAATGTTAAAATTTTAAAAGAAAGAAGTAAGTAGAACGACAACTTACTGATACCCATATAAAGAAGGCAAGCTCGAATGCATTCTGTGAGGGTCAAATTAAAGTCTATTAGTTTAATAAGTGATTAATTATATCATCATGCATTTATTATTGGTGTCACGCATGCATATAAAAGGCTTACCACAAATAAAGTGTAATGTATGAGTGTTAACACAAATCCTGGATGGCCGAACCAGAAGAGTTTGTCACTTGGACAAACAAGTGGGGTCCCTTTGGTTACATTATTGATATCCTTCATTTGAAGAGCCATTTCGTCGACAATGACTTCAAGTTTAGCTCCCACAACCAGAACCAGCTGTAAATAAAATGCACCAAAGCTGAATTAGAAGCCATGCAGATTCATTATTAAGATAAAAGAAGCTGCAACGTGCTTCTACTCACCATGAGGGGAACATAGGATAACCAGAGGTATACATGCCAGCCTAATATAGTTCACACACACACAAAGATTAACTAGTAATTCAAGAGTAAGAAAAAAAAGGGGGGGGGGGGGGGGAGATA